ACAAAGAGCCTTGGTTTGAAAGTTAAGAAATTTGGTTCTAATCTAAGCTCTCATTAACTAGTCCTGTGACCACGTGAGATCAAACTAAGACAACTAGTCTCCCGATGTCTTTGGACCTCACCCTCTTCTAAGCTGCAGTAAGACCAGATGAAAACAGCTGGATTGGAAGAATTTTGAAACGTCAAGTGTTTAGCAAATATAAGATGATTTTAGATGAATTTGCACACGTTGATGCACACAGATAAATGTACTGTCACTTACTATATATATATATATATATATATGCATATATAAACTTTCTTACCCAACAAGACTCCAGAAGATATCCAGTATTAACAGTCTCAGTAACCAGCAAGCACTTGGCACTTCATATTCAACAAAACAAATGCTACTTTCCATTTGGAGGAAATGATTAAGTAGCCCGCCCTTGGAGAATTTGAGCCACTGCATTTCTTTCTTTCTAAGCAAAAGTCAGGCCTGTTTTTGAAAGCAACTTAAAAATCACAAAGCTCATCTTCTCTTTCTCTCTGAGATCTCATTTTTCTTTCTCACATACAATTTTCTATTTCCACTCCCATCTTCCCCAGGGAGCCGGTTCAAGAGTGGCTCAGATGTGAATGGGACATGAATCAGAATCAGATGTTGAAATTTCCGGAGGGGTTCTGGCCAGTGTTCCCCACAAAGGGCTAGTATGACTACAGTGATGGGTGGCAAATGCAGGCACATGAATGCCCATGAGTGAGGGAAGGGATTCTGCAGCATGCCACCATCACCCCCTCATATGAGAAGGGGCTGCCTAAGCCTCTTGTGGGGTGTTTTGGGGATCCCCAAATTTGGGGGTACTTGCCCACAATGTTTACCAGTTCCAAAGAACCACTTGGAGGCCCAACAGAGAAAGAAGACATGAGTTTACTGACTAGGGAAGCTCCACTAACGGCTGGGTAAGGAATGGTCCATGTATCAGCGAATATAGGCTCAGGTTTAACACCCCAAGAACAAAGTGCACATACATCGAGTAAAAACATACATTGTGTAGAGGTTTTGATACCAGCTCAGCTTATCAATCAATGGAATTAGCAGAGTATATCTGGGTTAGTGTCTGTGGTTAAATGCCTCTAGTCTTGTTTACTGTGGGAGAGATGTGAGGCATACCTCTGGAACAGTCCTGGCCATGGGCCAGTTCCATGAGATAAGGGGATGGTCATGAGGGACTCACAAGGTCCAGCTGGGCCAGCAGCCAGGTCTCAGAGGAATAGGGTAAAGAGGGACCAGGGAGGAGAGCTCAATGTGTGGGCTTCACCCTCACTCCACCCCAACATTGACTGTCACACCACCCTCACCGTCTTCTTGAGTCATTTGTCCGCCAATTCCCTGGAGTAGGCATGTGGTCTGACACTGCATCCATAGCCCACAAGTACAACAGAGTACAAGTTCCAAATGGCAGTAAGATAATTACAGGGTGGTTAGCAAGGAGCACTTTACAGAGTATTTCAGAGGTTGCTGATAATGGGAACTCAGAGCATACCCAGCAGGGAGACTTTTGCACTTGTTGGGTGCCGGCCCATTGCAAGAATGTATTCCCAGGCCCAGGCTTAAGAATGATAAGAAAAAAAAATTTTTTTTTAAAGAGAGGTTTTTGTTATAGGGTGTATGAGCTTGCCAGAGAGATGGAGAGATAAAGAGCAAAAAATCACCTCCTGTAGGGGATGGCCATGCTGCAGTCCCTTCTCCTCCATTCTCCTCTCGGGATCTTGGGCACGCACGCACACGCGCCCGGCATGAGTTTTAAGCCACCGGGTCCGGGACACGAACCACAGTCGACTACGTGGGAGTCCAGTGACATAGCCATTACGCTAACTGCCGGTTCCCGAAAAAAAAAAAAAATTTTTTTACAGAGAGGTTTTTGCTGGGACCAGTAGTTGGCATAATGGCTATGTCACTGGACTCCC